GTGACATGATTTTGTATCTTCTATATTTTTTAATTCTAAAAAATATTGCAAAAGTAGAAGATATACAAATTGTTCAATTTACTTCAAATCTTTTTTGAGCACAAGAAGAAGGATTGAAGAGAATACAACTTGTGTTTGTATTGTAGAGAATTCAACAATAAGGTTGATAATTTCCACAAAAAGTGTTGATACAAATATAAGTAGAAAAATGCAATCACATTTCTAAACACTTTGTAAAAAATAAAAATAGTGGCTAGATTCTTCTACTTCAAAAATCAAAAAAAATCTTATATTATCATATAATCTTTCTTGTTGCTTTACCATACCAATATGTTTGGGTGCTCAAAAACTCATACCACTTCCTTTAATATTTTTAGAATTTGCTATCAAAGTAGAACTTACCTACAAACGACCATAAAAAATTATATCAATACTTTAGAATTAAGTATCCACTCTTACGGTCTTTTAAGGTCAAGGACATAAAAATTTGCTTCCAATAATTCATTGGAATATAATTTTAATAAATAAAATTCACCAAAAGTGTCATCTATTATATTTTTTCGATAATAGTAGAAAGAAGTGCTTTCATAAGCTTTAATTTTGCTATATCTTTTTAAAGCTTTAGTAATACATGAATTTTTGTACACTCTTAAGTAATAATTGCTTAAAATTTAGACTTAGAAAGTAATATGAGTGGAAGAGTATTGTGAAAAGTCTCTAGATTTTTTGCCCTTAAGGCAAAAAAAATTACATATTGCAGATCCACTTAAAATAATAAAGGCCTAAAAATCTTGTGGTTGGAATTATCTAAAGTTTCCACAAGACTAAAAATGCTTTCACAACTACATACCATTACTCTCTTGTCAAAAATTAAATACTCTTATGTTTAAGCTAGGTGCTTAAGAGGTCATATTTGTAATTGATATGACTTTTTTATTTTCAATATTTTCTCTATGGATATTGATGAGTTAGATTGACTATTAGTGGCACTTGACATTATTTTTTGCAAGCTTGATAGTGCAATTTGAGCTATATTTCCTTCAATTACATTCCACAAATCATCTCTAAAAAGAATATTTTTCAACATTAAATTTCAAAGTTTGAGGTTTCTAGGGCCTTAAAGCATTACTTCCTTTAATACTATTAAACTTATAGTTCCTATCTTGAAGAGAAAAAGTGAGAATAATAGAATAATAAAAGTATAATTAAAAAAGATAATAGCAAGGATTAAACAAGACTTCTAAGTTGTTCATTAAGACATAGTTAGAGGAAAGAAAAGAAATATAAAAATAAAAAACAATAAATTTCACAAGAATCAGCTTAATAGCTTAATACTATGAAAAGAGTCATGACAACAAAATAAAATAATGAAATTATTTTACTTAAGAAAGGATATATAGTGTTTTTAAAAATATAAGTCATTGAGACATATATTTTGGAATTAGAATCATTTATACAATGAACTAAATTATGTTCTATAAGTTTACAATAAATAATTGGCCATAACTATCTAATATTATTTGAGTACATGCAAATTTATATATTATGAGCATGGTTTATATTTTATAATATATATAGTTTTAAAGATATATTATATACACAAGTTAAAGCACTTATGAATTTTATTTTACCGAAATGAAATTCAATTAGCAAATAAAATAAAATTACATTAAAAATTAAGTAATGATATATAAAGCATTATATTTTTATATATTACTTTATGTTAGTAAAATATTTTTAAAAATAATTTATATAAGATCAAAAAAATAATTTAAACAATTATTGATTTACTAAATAAAATTACTATGTAGAAATAAAAAATATATAAATAAAAATACTACAAGTATTGAATATGTTCATATGTTCATAGAAATCTATAAAAGTAATCATAAAGATAGTATAGATTTAAATTAAAATAATTCTATAAAGTATCAATATATATATATATATATATATGTGTGTGTGTGTGTGTGTGTGTGTGTGTGTGTGTATGTGTGTGTTTGTATGTGTGTATATGTTTTAATATATATATATATATATATATATATATATATATATATATATATATATATATATGTATATATATATCCTCAAATAATTTTTAAAAGTAAAAATCATTATTTTTTAAGAATAAAAAATTTAATTTAAATATTTATAGCGTTAAAATATATTTTTGAATAAAAACTTGTTTATTTTATTTTTATCTTTTAATGGATGGATATAGATATAATAATTTAATTGGGTTTTAGAAACATGTTTTATTTATTTTAAAATATAAGCCTTAAAGTTTTTTTTGTAAATATTATTATAATATAGGATAATTTAATAATATTAAATATTAATAATTTATTTTTCATAATAAACATTATTGTTAGTATTTAAATACTAATTGAATTTGTTAAAAATACTTTATTATTTTCTATTTTAATCTATATATATATATAGAGAGAGAGAGAGAGAGAGAGAATTTTTGTTAAAAGTAGAAGAAATTATTTTTTAAAAGATTAATATAGCATATTTTACTTTTATACAAAGTATTATAGAACCAATTTGAAAGAATGATTATTGGAGAACATTAATTGAATACCACTTATACGAAAACTTTGAAATACAAATGGTATTATTTATTCTAATTTAGTTTTTGTAATAAAAATAGATAATATAAGCACATACATTAAAAGAGAAATATTTCACATGGTTTTTATTCAAAGATAAGTCAAAAGATTGTAAATTCAAATATAAAAAATAAAAATAAAATATTTTTGGATTAGATCATTTTGTATAATTTATTTATTATAGAATAAAAAATATTTATATATGAATAGTTTACTAACATATATAAAAACATAATATACATTGTATATTATATAAATTTAAGGTTGGCTAATCCTTACCTTCTTTGGACTAGAGTAGAGGCAAAGTTTGGCCATCCTTTGTAACTACATGTCGCAAAATCCTTCCTATTCAATCAACTAGATGAAGGCATCATGGTTGTTAGATCTCTAGAATCAAATGTGGTAGTTATAAGATCTATTAGGAATAAACCCTCTTCTCATACCATGGATTTGGTTCAAGGGGAGGAGAATAGAAGTATAGTCTAATTTTAGATGGAGTAGAGCATAGTGGTGTAATAATATTACTAATTCAAAATTAGATTTTGTAAAAAAATATTTATAAATAAATACAAGTAAAAAAAATTATTTTAATAATTTCTTTAGAAAAAAATATTTATAAATAAATACAAGTAAACAAAATTATTTTAATAATTTCTTTAGAAAAAAATATTTTGTATAATTTCTATATAAAATCACTTAAATTTTTTTTAAATAAACTAAATTGTATAATATTTTTTATTACAATATTACATTAAATTGCTGTGGGACCCTAATGGTTTGGGATGGGTGGTCTTCCATAAAAGTTTGTGTGTTATGCAATCAAAGGTAGTAGCTTGTGACAAAAGGACCTTCTAAATTTTGAAGAAAGTATTATGAAGGGATGCAATATTGATAAAGATGTAGAATTGTTCTTCAAAAATTTAGATTTTTATTAAGAGTGTTGATGCAAAATTTGGCACTTCACATAAAAAATTTGAATTAATATAATGATATTTCATATTTGGTATTTATCATTATATATAATAAAGACTTGTTTTTACATTGCAATAAGTATTATAATATGGTTGTAAGTGGTGGTTCTTACAACTACATTATAATACTTATTGCATTTTTTTTAATTAAATAATGACTTTGGTACATGATGCTTGTAAAAAATGTTTTATGATTTGAAAAATAATTTATAAAATAATAAATCTATATAACAGCTTATGCCAGAATACTATTTTAAAGAGAAATTTTACAATCTTTTCAATAGAGCATGAATAAATTAAATATTTTTTAAAAAAATGAAATAAAATAAAATTTAGCCAATCTATATTTTATTTCTTGTACAAAGAAAATAATCAATGATGAATCCTCGTTTATAAAACATCTGTGTTTGAGAAAAAAAAATAATGAGTAAATTTTTAAAGCTGAAAAAATTCTTCCTGGAAACAAAAGTATCATGCACATTGAATGCTGTTCTGTATGAAAACAAAATAAATAAATAAATGTTTGAAACAAGAGTGAGGTTTGCAAATTGGGATTGAGAGGTATCCCCTGAACAAACTTCAGCACCGATGTGAATATGGATTAGTGCAAGCCCAATGAGGAATGGGTTTTGAGTTCCCAAACTTCCCGCCCCCTGGTTCCCCTCAGTTCCCTCCTTCCGTTCCCAGAAATCCGATTCGCGGTTGAGATTGAATCTGAGCAGATGCTGAAATCCGAAGGCCCACGATGGTGGAGCCAGTCGATTGAACAGGGAGGTTTCTGCGACACAATTCTACGAGTCTGGCAACCCCTTTCCAAATCCTAAAAAATGGCTGCTTAATTCTTGGCTACCTGCGTGGCCAAGCAATAGACGAACGCTAGCTGGACAAGAGGCTCGCTTTACACGGGCAGCAGGCTAGCCATTTGTCCGCTGCCGGGACAAATACTCCGGGCCCAACATTCCTGGTAGGGAGACTCGCAAGGATGCCCCACCTTGCCCAAATTGTGCATCTTAGTATTTTATGTTCATGTTTAATCTACATACAATGAAAATATATATATATATATAATTTTTTTTGTTATTATTATTATTGAAGCCACCTCTCAGCCAATGAACCCAGTTCTACCACGAGTGATAACAATTCCGAATACGTACATTTCCCAACTAGTCAAACGTTACCACGTAGATGAATGGAGAGTAAATTTGAAAATAAAAAATAAAATAAAATAAAATAAAAAAGCATCCACAACGACAAGTAGCCATTACAGCAAAACTTGTCACCAGATTCATGACTGCAGGTAAATAGTTGACGTTTTTCAAACTTTCATTACTAAAACTGTTGCAAGACATGAAATTTCAGATGCACGAGAGGAACTACATGGTGGATTACATGCAAAAGGAGATTCGAACCATAGTTTCAAGGGCTGTGATTGCAACATGCAAACTGAACTTTCCAAATAAAATCGCAGTAGCCAATGCGATGGAGTTCCTTTTATCATACAAACAAGGCTGCTCTCTGCAGTGAGAGCAGCCTGTCAAGTCTTTGCAATTATGCTAAAATGTAGAAACTTGCGAGGACTTAAACCAAGAGATGGTTCAACAACCAGATTAATTAATATGGTACATCTAGCCTACAGTCGGCGAGCCACCCAGCGACAAAACCTACAACTCCAAACATGTTGAGCAGTCCACAGTAAACGCAATCGGCAGTCTACACACACAAGTGACGGAGCCCATGTGCAAGATCCATAATGACAAGGACCCTGCTCAGGGACACGAACTTCAAAATGCAATTTTGAAATCAAAAGAGCTAGACTTTCTTGCCACGTCCTAAACCTGCCACACCCTTGCATAAAACATCACACTATGTACCTGTAATACCACATGAACTAGTGAGACAACATGCTCCTGGTTCATTTATACATTTTCAAGGGCCCAAACAGATGTAGACCTCTCAAAAATGTTGTTGCTGCATGTTCACATCTGAGGGGAGGAACAATCTAGAAGCTCCGTGTGGTGGCTAAAGGATCATAATCATAGGCCTGCCCTGCCTTCACAAACCGACCCTTCACCCTCTTGCGGATATCTGCACGGGCTTTGCGAGACTCGTACCGAACCCTTTTGTCGAACCTGCAATGGTACAAAGATATCCCAAAATTATTTAGATGTTCAAGTGAAGCCTGTTCTACACATGCAATAAAATTGCAAAGAAATGCAATAGAGAGCATAATTGCACGTTTGGCACAAAAGAGGAGAAATTTGGTATGAACCTGCGAATTTTTCTTTTTTCTTTGTAACGAAGCATTGCGGAGTCACGTGCTTGGGCGATGGAAACACTGTCTGGACTCCTGGAGCCCAAGGAAGCCTCCCCAGAGCTGAAAAACAAAGGTGATAAATTACAGTCTTGATAATCACCACTGTCACCGCTCCGACCAGGAAGTGTAAGAGAGCGACTGGTTAAAGCAGGTCCTGCCGGAAATTGCGATCCCATATTGCAGGGGGTTCTATCCATGTCGTTCATTGCCATTAAAACTGCCATCTCATGAAGCTCTGGTGGAACAGGACCAGGACCCGGACCCGCTTGCCTAACCATGTTCTCCCTCAACTTGATATCATTGGCTGTGGTTGCAGCATCCTACAGATGATAGCAAACCAATTCGGGTTTCAGATATAAAGCACTGAGATAAATGATATAATTGTAACCAATGAATCCTTGATTTCAGCCGGTCATTCCCGTATATCAACGAGATCCACATTTCAAGTAATGCAAATGCTCCGCTTGTAACTTAAGATTCCTTATTCGATTTCATGTCGTGGGCTGAATGAAAACCTCGACAGTGTTAAGAGTTGCTTGAGTATGGGAACATACTTGATTGATGGGTTTGAACAGTTCTGCTTCGGGAATGCTCTGCATGCGGGCATGGTCGTTGCTAGCATTTGCTGAATCTTGACCAATGGAAGAGCATCGTGGGCTTATTTCTTCAAATGAAGATCTAGAGGGACCTGAGCCACTAGAGAACATATCTTCATAGTTGTCAAAAAATAGATCCACGTCAGCCATACTAAAAGCGTCACAAGGATCGGAAACCTCTCCACAGACTCCCAGGTCCTGCATGTTCTGCCCCCACATCTACACAACCAGCCATATGGAAGAAAAATAACGGTTATACACTAGCCAAAATGACGAGAGGCCATTCACGAGTATGACAATGAAGAACTTCCAAAGTGTCTCTGAAATACCTGAGTAGCTTGAGTCAAGGCATTACTCCGCCAGAAAGGGTCAGGACCACCTTGATTAACGAGGTCATTAGGTCCATCCTCCAGCTTCATCATCTGACCATCATCAACCCCCATGCTAGACTCACCTCCAGAAACTCCAGAGTTCTGCGCAGGCTGCTGGTCTGAGTGTCTACGAACAGGCATGGGTGAACATTGCTCAGACTCTTGCTGCGTCTGGCTGCTAGTCTGGGTGTTCACACATTGTCGCTTTGCCTGTTGAACTGGCAAGGATGCTGAAGAAGTACGAGCCAGATCTTGGACCTGGAGAACTTGAAGTTGCTGGGATATTTCTTTTTCAATACAACCCTGTTCTTGTTGCCTCGCCACTGCTGAGGTGCTCGGAAGTACTGCACTCTGGTACAGAAATGGTGTTTTTTTTACTTAGAATTATGTTGCTTATACATGCAAGAAGAAACCTTTGCCCTTTGAATGATTCATATCCCATGCCTAAACAATGTAGTGCAGGTAGCCAATAAAAAGAAAAAAATAAATAAATAAAAATCATGCCTACAAGAGGAAGTAACTGAGCTACGGGTTTTTAGAATGAAGCTCCCAAAAGAACTAAAGCTCTACAATAACTGAATGTCCTTTTTATGAAATACAGATGCAATGTTTATAGAACATCAATTTAGTACTGATTAACAGTTACTTGTACATATATTTCTAACCATAAACTCTTGCTTTCATCTCTCACATATCTAGAGCCCCAGAAAACTGAGAAGAAAGAAGAGGGTACACACATGAATAACTACCTTGGCAAGCAGAGGAGGCGCAGCACTAGATATGTTGGTGACGCCAACAGCAGCGACTCCTGAACTAGAGTCCATCCTTTGAGCACCACCCATCTGATTCTCTCTTGCTACAGTCGACCTGGTGGCACTAGAACCAGCAATTTCTGCCCATTTACTATTCAACCCCCGAGAAAAGACTGATGAAATGGGTCCACCAACATCACTGCAGTTGTCGCAAGCCCACAGAGCTGCAAGCTCGGATGCAGAGGGGCACCCAGTGAAGCACTCCAAGACGTGCCGCTGGTGTTGAGCGGACATCATGGAAGGACTGTGCGTATTATCGTCACAAGTTTGACAAAAACAATTTTGACAGGTTGTGCACCGAACCCCAGCAGGGCGCATGTTGCAGCCATGACATAACAAAGTGCGAGAGTGGCGTTGTGACAGTGCATTTGCACTGTGCACGTGCTGGTCACATGAAAGGCAGAGCAGAGCTGAGTCTGCTCTGCAGTACACAGTTGCCTGGCCTTCGCCGCAAAAATCACACGTTGTCTCCATCGCCGACGATACAAAGAACTAAAACTAGTTACGCTTCAGCTCCAACAAATTCTCTTTCCAACTCTTAGTCCAGATTCTCAGAAGTGTTCGTGACAAGACGTATCACCACGCTATTTATGCAACAATACCTGTACCGAGAAATTTAAAACGTATAATATTCAAGATCCAATATGGAGGTCGTCTGAATTTCTTGATCCTTCCTGATATAACCAGTATTCAAAACACAGCTCCTTTTCCCTTCAGTGATTCCTTTCCTGCTTATCCCTGTGAACACTAGCTTGAGAACATCACTAGATTCCCGAAGTCACTACTTTAGAACCTTCGTATCGCCCATTGACCACCCCATGATTTCACAACGTCGTCTTGACCTCCAACTTCTTCGTACATGTCGGTGATCTACTTGCGCTCCTTACCACGTACACCTCAAAGAAAAGGAAACGGAAAACTAGAGTCAAAGGCGGCGAATGCAATATCCAAGAAAACAAACGGACTAACCTGTTCACAACTCTAAAACTTTTAAGACTAGACTGAAACCCGCAATGTGTATCATGAATCACTTTCAGAGAGTATCAAAACTACGATGTCCTTGATCATCTACAGAGACCCCAAACGGTTGCTGGGATCATGACTGGAGGCTAATCAATCAGCAAACGTTGGGCAAGTTAACCTGGGCTGATTTCTATGAAATAATTCTATATTTCAGTAGTTAATATGGCAAAAATAATTCACTAAGACGCATAACCGCATTCTACGCTCCTCATATTAACATGTGAAATCTCAAGGGGTGCCATTCTATAAGTTTCGCGTGAACGACAGATGAGGATTGTTGGAATGGAAAATGTGCTACTCAATTCAACCAGTCCAAGTTTGCAGGAGACTTAAATCACGGATATGAAAGATAAAGGAACAGACTTTAATCACTGATACGAAACAGACCGATGCTCATAGTTCAATCTCTATTTACAAAAAGGGGAGCAGTTTGAGCCCCATGTGCTGACTGAATAACAATCAGTGTGCAATGCCACACAGTCCTCAGAGTGAAAGCAGATGCAGAGGGTGAAAAGTCACACAACGCGCAGCAATTTCACCCAAACTTCATTGCAGATGATCCATCCAAAAGGAAAAGAAGCCAAAAAAATTAAATTATTAAAAACTAGAAATTAAAATCGAGAGGGAGAAGAGGGCTCCGTCAAAGTAGAAGACTGACCTCCGGTCAATCACGGCACAAGAGGCAACATCCTCGCAGCAGCAGCTCCTGAATCCGTTACAACGAGAATCAGCACGCAAAGCCCGCAAAATAAGCTACACAATCAACTCCACCACCGTGTGCACAATATCATTACTCCATGCACACGCAATCACACACACTACACACAACCGTCCATAGCTGTTTTGACTCCTCAAACTTCTCCCTTATCCACACACACTGCCTTCCCTACCTTAAAACTTGATCTTTACACAGTCACTCCGACGCCTAAATGTCATGCACGCTGTTTCCCTCATTGTCCACTGCAGAGACCTCTGAGCAACTGCTGCTAGAAACAATCGTCACAATCTAACTCTCTTTTCACACTCGCCACAATTGCTACCTCCAATGACCTATCCCGCCTCCAAATGTGTCTTAATCCAACCTAGTAAGTCCTTCTTGCACCTATCCATTGATCATAATCCGAAGGACAAAAAAGAAGAAGAAGAAGAAGAAGAAGAAGACGAAAATAAAAAGCGGCTAACTTCACATGCCCACTGGCCTAGGTAGAACCTAAACCTCCCAGCCTTAAAACCTTCCGATCGTCACGCAAGAAGAAGTCCCTCAGACCTACAGACCCTCAAACGTCCTACTTTTGCTGCAAGGAACAAACGAAAAACGAGAAGATGTGAAGTACCTAGAGAACCAAGTACTGGAGACGAACGAAACCTGCTAGAGCCCATACAAGCACATCCAACGAGCGAGGGAGTAGGGGAAAAAAATAAGAGATGGGAAAGAAGAGACGATAGGGGAGGGTAAGGGGGGGAGGGAGAGGAGAGGAGAGGAGAGCAAAAGGGCAAAGCAAAGCAGAGCTTGAAAGTGAAGGCTAGATAGAAGTCGGGGCAATGAAGGCAGGCAGGCAGGGGGGGATGGGCTGCTGGGCTGGCAAAGTGCAGTGGCTTTTTCAGCCTGGGCCCTAAAAGCTCCAACCCCAAAAGGAGCACTAAAGCGCCCCAAAAGCGCCGTGGCTTTCATCTCGCATGGCGAGACCAGGAACCCCTCGGTGGGCTCCAGCATCCTCCACATACCCCCCTCTGGAGCCATCTCGGCAGGCCCATGAATTCCGAACAAACATCTCAACTCTCCCTCGCTCTCCTCCTCTCTCTCAATCTCGCTCTCCCTCTCCCTCATCCTCCTCTATGCTACCCCTCGCTACACTCCTACTCTACTCCTCTCCCTCGCACTCCCTCCATATCTCTCTCTCTCTCTAATTCCTGCTCTTGTCCCGTTCGCGCAGCTCTCTCGCAGCAGCAGGCTGCATTCCTACGCGCGCAGTCTTCCGCTCAGTGTTGCTCGCTTCCATTCTCCGTTCCCCTTTCTTTCCTTCCTCCCTTCCTTCCTTCCTTCCTTTTTCTCTTATATTAGAAGATATCATTCCATCTCCATCGCCATCGCTCGCTCCTCGTCACCCGTATCCCTTCCCACAGCGAAGTGACGGAAGCGGCCAAGGGGAACTGTGAGCTCCAATGGCATCCAGCGCCGGGCTGTGGGTGGCCGTGCCAGCTTTTCCTCATTGCCTGCTGCAGTCACGGTCACGATCAGGTAGGTTGAAAATACTAACAGTATTCTTCCTTATTTTAATAATAATAATAATAATAACATCACTATTATTTTTATTATTATTATGTGTGTGTGTGTGTGTTCATTACGTTCCTTGTGTGCTCTATTCTCTGAAACCCCATCCATGCTTGCTTCCCCTGGTGTCCCATTAGCCCGCTGTATCCACGACATCGCCCACCCAACCTTTCACGTGTCCACGTCGGATTTCCCGGGGTCCGGACTCTCGTGTGAGATAGATACTCTTGGTTCTGGCATGCCTTCGGCCCTTCCCCCATTCATTTCAATCCGCCTCCCCCCTCTTCTTCCTCCTTTCATTCGTTTTCTTGTAAGTTTATTTTTTATTTTTTATTATTTTATTTTTAAGTTTCGAATGCCCTTCAACTTTTCAACTCTTTCTAACTCACTGAAAGTTTTTAATACTTATTTATAAAAAATAATAAAAAAATAATAAAAAAAACATTCATACCTCAACACAACTTTGAAATTAATATGATTGAACTGTTTACTAAATCTTGTATAAATCAACGTTACATGAGAATTAAGACTTGAGTTAAGCACTGGATAAACATCAGGAAATGAGTTGACATTGAGTAATTGATAGAGAGGAGAGTTTATGTCCTTTTGGAATTCTGAAGTTACAACTTGTAATCGTATTTGACCGACTTAACTTTACAACATAGTTTGCTAAAATGAACATATCTGAACAACAATTAAGGCATCAGTTGTGTGATAATTCAATTATGTCTTGTTGTTCTGTATTTAAAATATTAACATGGAATTTTGATAATGCTGCTTAATTCCTATAATGAACAGAAAAATATATTCGTATTGGAATAAAAATAAATAAAATGTAGGAACTAACAAGTTCTGTTATCTAAAAGAACATTTTAGGACTCCATTCATTTTTATTTGAAATACATTTTTTCAAGATTTCTCAACCATATTTTTTATATTTAGAATTTACTTTATTTAATAAATTTTGATATTATATTTCAAAATTTACATAATCTTATTGTTATTTTTTAAATCTTTTAATTGTAGATATTATAGTAAAGATATATTTTTGAATATTTTGATTATTTTAATTTGAATGTCATTTAATAAAACATGTATTAAAGAGAATTATTATTACACTTATAATTGAAATATTTTCTTACAAGAATAAGAGATAAATTATATTTCTTAATCTAATATTATATCACTATGAAGTTTATTGGTAAATTAGACAATATTAATAATGCCAAATTAAAGAATGAAATGTCAAAAAACTATAACATATATTAGATATTTGATTGTTAATAAAATTGGATATGATAACACTTAAATAGTTATTACAAATTACATTGATGAGACTGACATGTATTTTGTTCTTGATTTATACTTAGGCTTTTAATTCTTGGAATTTAGAAGAGGTTATAAAAAACCATATAGTGTTTTAAAGTCTAAAAAGTTTTTTTTTTTTAATACAAATCTCTAAAAAAATCACACAATGTTTGTTTGTTTGTTTTTTTTTTCCACATAAATGGGATTTATCCAATGCATCAATAAAGTAAAAGTAGTACAATCAACAACTTAACATCTTATATACAAGAGAACAAAGTAAAGAGTACTATGTAAAATATTTGCTATTACTACTTAATCTAATATATTTTTGTGTATTATCAAGCCACTTTGTTGTACTCTTAAATTTTGTTTCATCATCTTGTGTATTCTAAATCCTATTAAGTGTTTTATCATGTAGAATTTGTCCCATCTCTTAAGAAGTGTAGCATTATATTTAACATATATTTATAATTTTTTCTTTATGGCTTCTCAACTAATTTATCTAAATTCAATTGAACTTTGTTAAATTAATGTTCTAATATAGAAGTCGCTCAGTAATTTCTTGTCATAAATGTATTTACTTCTTTCAATATAGAAAATCCATAAGCAAAGCTTTCTTCATAAAAACCAAATCTTTGAATGTTTTTCAAGAATAGTTTTTTTTATATAAGTTCTTAGAAGACTATACAAGGCTATTAAAAACTTTTGGAATACAATAGAAATTCTTTAGATTCTATGAAAAGTACCAACAAATACCATATGTTTCTAAAAGTCAATAATGACTATGCAAAATATTATAAAAATAAGTATAAGAATCTATTTTTTTTGGAATTCTAATATATTGTATATCTACAATAATATTTCTTTTTCTAAAATTATTTTTTATAAAATATCTTGATAATATTTTTTAAAAAATCTTAAATTAAAAAATATTTTTTATAGCTTTTAATCTTAGAATGTATCTTTTGATTTCTATTTAATAATTGATTATCTTTATTTATCCAACTATAATAGATACAATCTCTTGGTTTGAATTCAGGTCTTTGAAACTTCTTTAGAAAGAATTTTTTTCATCCTTTTAAACCACATAAAATTCTTGAATACAAAATTAGATCCTCTAAACATTAATTATAAGCTTAAATTATACAAAAGATTAACTTTGACTTTAATATATGCATCTTTAATAATAATAGTAATAATAATAATAATTTTAAAAAATAGAATTAGTGTTTATTTAAACTGCTATAAATTTGTAGCAGTGAATGTGAACTTTCAATTATGCTCTAAAATTTAAATTTTTGTTATTTTCCTATTTTATGATAATTGAGCATATTAGATTAAGATTTATATAAGTGGAATTTTTTTTATAGAATGTATAAGATTATAACCTTTGATGGTATAAATTAAATCCTAATTCATTGAATTAAATTAATTAGGATTAAAGTGATAAGAGTTTAAAAAATTAGAATAGCAACTTAGTTAGTTTTAATAATTTAGAGGTTGTCAGTCACTACTATGAGGGTTGACTAAAAGCCTACGAGTGAACCTATAATCATTTCACATGATTTAGAATGAGTTAGGATTATAATTCTCTAAAAGATTTAGTGAAGTTTAGCAATGATAGTTTTGAGCTTTCCTCCAAATTCGACAAATTCAAGCCGCATGGTGGTTCTTCTAATTAATGGGAGCCTTTTTAATGCAATGGTGGCACCAGATTTATCCCATGGAGTGAAGAAAACAAGATCAGCACCCTCTCCTTCAAAATACAGGTGAAGCAATGAAATTTTCATTTTGAAGAATTTTACAAAAATTGCCAAGATCCTTGTAAGAAAAAACTTCCATGAAAATTGCAATTGAGCATGGATTGAGGCATGTGAGTAGTCATTCTCAGCATAAAAAGGTGTTTTGAACACAATGGTGAAATTAGATTAACCAAAAAATGCTTTCTTGACCACTCACAAGAGCCATCAGCCTTGGTAATAAGATTGGCTCTTAGATGAATGAGGGCCATAGATCTAAATTAGGAATCTTAGAGATCAAGGTTGGAGATGTGGCCGCCCTTCCACAATCCACCACTCAATTGTATAAGAGTGGCTTGGTCCCCCAAGCCCTCTCTTTCTCTCTCTCCTCTTTTCATGAAGGGTGAAGCCATGCCAAATTTTGGCCCTAAATCTTAATCTTAAATTTTGTTTTTGGTTTTTAATCTCATTGTAAACTTGTAGTTGTATATGCATGGATTTGGAGTAGTGAATGATGGACATTGCATTTTAAGACACATGTCATTGTGGAAGATAGTTCTCTTGGCCTCCCAAATACCCCAAAGATTCAAGAGCTTTGGATTTCCCTTAATCAGTTGTTCAATTTTTTTAGTTTTGATGTGAGTTCTTTTTGTAGTTGTAACTTTTGTTGTTAGCTTTCCAACAAGGTAAGGATTGCTTGATTTGGAGTAAGGATGGAATTTTGGTAGAATTTTGAATACACGGGGGTTGGCTACCTTGGCAGTGTAGATCAACCATCTTTGAAAAGGCATTTCTCAGTGCCTCCTAATTGGATTATTGTGAAATTTTGGAAGTAAGTGCATCTTCAAGCCGATCTTCTAGTGGCCTAAATTTCACTGAATTTGAAGACAAATTGAATTTTTGGTTAATTTTCAAGTGGAGGGAGGCTACCTGCAAGGGTAGTCTTAGTCAGTCAACTTTGAAGGAGCAGTTCTTGCGGCTTGGGTACTGGATTGAATTTAAATTTATTGAAGCAAGAGCACCTTCAAGTTAAATCTGCAATAAACTAATCACGAATTTTGACAAATTTTGGAATAGAAAGGGATTTGCTACCCTTAATTCTTGGGTGTTGTTAAGGTACCTTTGCTTTTATCTCTCTTTAGCCCCACTTTTACTTTTATCTTTACAATAATTTGTAACTTCCATATTTCAACTTTTAAATTTAATTTTTTAACTTTTAACCTTTAATCTTCTCACTTTAATTTTTAACTTTTACTTTTAATTAAATTTTAACTTTTCACTTATACTATTAATTTATAACTTTTGTTATTAACTTTTAACTTTTGACTTTAAACTTTTACTTTTAACTCAACCTTTAAGATTTTTTATTCTTACTATGAATTAATGGTAATAATTTCATCAATTGTCTTTACCATCAATTATTTAAGAGATAATAATTTATAAGTTTCAACTAATTAATTATTTATCTACTCTAATAATTATACTTATGTAATCACATAAAAATTAGTAATTATGGATTATGTAAATGAACTTGAAGAATCCATTGAGATTTACATGGGGATCATACAAATAGTCTTGAAGATTATAGTAATCTCATTAAAACTTTTTATTTTATTTTATTTTTATTTTTATTTAGATAACCATTATTTAGAAGGCTTAAAGTTAATTGAATTGTTAATACAAAGATTTAAATCAATTTAACAATTACATGATTGGGAGCTCTCATATTCCACCTCTTAAACTTGTTATGTATCATTAATTTCATTGAGTGGTGAATTTCCGGCTCACAATGAGCCATATAAAATAATCTAAAGAATTATTTATTTATTTTAATAAATAATTTGGTGGTAAAAAATATTCTTAAAAATAACTTTATTAACATTGTCAAGGACATAAAGACAAGGAATAAATATGTCAATGAGTATTTTAAAAAAAAACAAGGTATTAGATTACAAATAAGACAAAATACAAGAATAAAAAGAAGGTAATACTTTGGTTATCATAAAATCCATTTTTATAAGATCAAATGTCTCTTGTTTCATCTCCTTAATGATATTATGGAAATTAGATTTTATAGAAGTTTCTAAAAGAGGTTCTCATATCTAAATCATATTCTAAAGGTATAGAGAATCTTACATAGATACATGTATAAGACTCATAAAGGTCTTATATATTTATGGAAGGCTATAAATATATATATATATATATATATATATTTGAATTATAAAAGATTTTTAGAAATTTATTATATATATATATATATATATATATATATGTGTGTGTGTGTGTGTGTATGTATGTATGTGTGTTAGGAAAAATATAAATTTTAGGATATATATATATATATATATATATATATATATATATTATATCTTAAAATTTCATGAAAGTTTCTAGAAGGTTATAATGATTTCTAAGGATCTATTAAAGTAATACAAATATCTATATTCATTTAGAAGATGCTTGTGGTTGAGATTTTGTTGCATAGTTGGAATAACTATTATTTTAATAAAAAAATCTTTAACTTCATGTTATTAAGTTCACTTTAAATTTTAATTTTTTTATTTAACAAATTTTGTAAATTTTATATAAAAACTTAAAAAGTTTGTAAATATATAATAGAGTTTTTTTTTATTAAATTTTGATAAAAAATTCACAAAGTAATAAGTATATTTAACTAAATATTAGAGCTACTATGCTTCATAAAGATTATATGTTAGATACAAGTAGAAACTTATGTCATTGGATACAAAAACCTTTTGCCCTCCCTTCAATCCATTCCCACTTTCATCCATGTTGCCTCATTCCCATGTTTGGCTAATGACAAGGATTCTTTGTTACTTTGTCTTATATCCAATTTGTTTTATATAATAGATACTAAACACCTACCAAATAGGGCTAATACAATGCCAAAAGAGCATTGTTCTTGCTTTCTCTTGAAATTTTTGTAGAAGCAATTATTATTGAAAAGAAAGCTTGTTATATTCTACCTACATTAAATAGATTAAAATACAAGATATGACTACAACATTTCTTAGTTTACAATCTTGATTCCAAAGAATTATTTGTGACAACTAATTAATGCTTAATTACATCTAAATTAAATTAAATGATTTTAAAAATATTATATTTATATAAAATTAATTGTTTTACAAAAATTTAATACTTTATACTTCAATAATATTTTCAATGGCTTAATGTTTTTAATCAAATTTAGTTATTACAACAATTAATCATTAATAAGATAAAATTATAATTTATGTTTAATTTAAATAAAAGAATTTTCTAAATCATATTTTTTAAATAAATATTCTTAAGAAATTTTTTTATGTATTGTATAAAAAAAATATTAAAATAGTTTTAGAATTAAAGAATAAAAGAAATAAAATAACATAGTGGTTATCAAGATAATTGTATCTCAGAAAAAATGAAAGTGTATTATTTTAGTTATATACAAGATATGAATAATCTTACTAAAGATATAAGAATGTATAAACTTCAACAAATTTAAATTTTATTATTTTTAATAATTTAATTTAAAGTTTTTAACCTGAACAAAAGCACAGCTTATAATTGAATATCTACAAAAACTTAGGGTATGTTTTAAATTTTACGTGCCTAAGAAATATAATGGATCTTTTAAAAAAAATAAAAAAATAAAAAATGGAGTGAATAAATTGTTTTTTGAATAAATAATTGTTTCAGTCAACACTAGGATACATATATTAAAAGGAAACACAACAGTCTCTAGCTTACTACTTTTGGAAGCATTATATGACCAAACCAAATTTTCAAAAAGAAATTAAATTTAGACACCTGTTGTTTTTTGAGAAAAAATAAAATAAAATAAAATAGATTCTAGTAAAAACCTCAACTAGGTGGACATTAAAGGGCTGTGTAACATGGCAAGTTTCCCGCGGGGACCGAAGCCCCACGATGCCTTTCTCATGTCCCATAACCATGACGAATTCATAAATGGGGACCAGAGTTCGCGAGGCTCCTATCGTGCCCCATAACCATGGCGAGTTTGCCCGCAGTGACGTGCGTTGCGAGGCCCATTTTCTTCATTGCATGATGCAGCTCTGATGCTGGATCGGTGTAGCGTGAAGCACTTGCACTGTGTCCATGCAGATTTGATACTGAACTGTGAAGGGGGAAGTCTGCTTATCGTTCTGTATCCTCGCCTCGTTTTCACCCGAAATATAAAGAAGATACAGCTTCGATAAACACCGAGTTGGCAGTATAGACTATGTCGAGAGAAGCAAACTACTACACCAATCCCTTTACGTGCGCTGTCAGTTATGAATTTCGACACAATTCCTTCTCACAGTAGTTAGCAGATAAAATAGGCTGGTATGTATGCAAAATTTCTCAACAGCAGGGTTGCTAGTGTGAGAGTGCTTTTTGGTGGGGGGAATATCTTTAATGTTCCAGGTCGATCTTGTCACGCTGTTTTCTCGTCACTTCCTCTTTGTGGCATGCGATCTTGATTGATTCTAGAAAAGATAGATTTATCATTCAACTGCGTTCCGTAATTTGGATTGATAAACGTGAAAAATTCATTGAAGGAATGTTGTGTGGTAAATGTTTGATACCCTCAGCATTGCGTCGAATTTTGAACCTCTGAGATCTGGGAGCTTCATAGTGGACCCGTGCACCGAATGTGTTGTAATGATGGGAGTTAGATACTCTTGAATTAAAACCTCGTAATTAATCACAAGCTTGTACGTCGTGTTGAAGTGAATCTAAAGTCTAAACTCCTTTCAGCACGAGCGACATCTTCTGACACGATGAGAAACTCTAAGTATTATTTTTATTTCAAGAACGGTCTCCATTGTCACCTGTAAATTTGTGTTTATTTAAAATCTCTCTCTGTTGTCTTTCTAAATAATTCTTTTATCCTCTCTGTCTCATTGCAGGATGCGGGTGACAATTCTGCAAAGCTGTGGCGCAGAAATTCTGCATGGGACGATTAGCTGCTCGGGAATTTAAGTGACACGTGGGAGAAGTGTGGCTCAAGTTTGTTGCTGTCCAATATTAGTTGAAGAGAAATTTGTCGTGGGTTGCAATTGCTGCATCTGAGAAGCAACGGAGACGGTCAACAAGCTCATGGTTAGAGTTTGTTGACACATGGAATTTAGAGGGGCCGAAAGCAGTGTGATTTCAAGCGGCAAACTCTACTTTCAGCTGAAAAGCGGATTCACGATCATCCATTGTCACGAGCCTCATTCGCGATTAGAGCTGTGAAATTGTTTGAAGTGCATTGGTTTAAAACTTCTATTTGTCGAAGACCTTTCATGAATGAGCAAGCTCGTAGGCGCAGTTTTCTGCCCAAATTGCACCAGTCCAAGGAAATTTGTAAGACCTTTATCATCTTTTAGAATTTAATTGTCAAAGAGGTCACTCAATTTTCTTCATGCAATTTTCTTGTTTTTCCGAGAGAAAATTTCATACAAGTTGATTTTTAATGCTGACTAATTGAAATCAGAATTGCAGGGGTACAGGTATTCTTCATTATTACGGGCGAATATGAAATTAAGTGCGTTGTTCTTAATCGAGCAGAGATTTAATTGCAAAAGTAAGGAAGGATCTGAAAGCAAAAAATTTATGGATCTGAGCTGTGTTATTAGGTTCCAACACATGCATGGCGATTGTTTGTAGCACTAAAAGGTCGGACAAGCATAATGTTGATTTGCTTTTTAGTCCCCTTGCACTATTGTCTGGATCTCACTGCTGCGCTGAATTACTATGCAAATTAACAGACTCCGGATGGGACTTTACATATGACGGACTCCTTTGTTCGAAGTTTCTTGAATAATTTCACATCCAAGTGTCTACTAAAGGATTATATCAACTGTCGTTTACTGAGAACTATGTGTGGTTGATGCTATGGTACTCCCTCTGGTCAGAGAAGAAGGCTGTCAAGTCAAAAAAAATTAAAGAAGGTTAAGAAAGTAAAGCTTACCAGCATTCGATTGATCTCCAGACCTCGCTGGAATGCTGATGCGTATATCGTTCCAGAACTTCGGGTCATTTCTTGCATTGTTTCATCGTTCATGCTGCCGTAAAGGAATCTTTTCCTATTGATCTATGATTAACAGGGTGCACGATGTCCACGGTCTACTTTCATACAAGCGGGGGCAATGAGTCACCACCTGTATACTTCTAGATCAAAGTTGAGTGTTTTGGATAAGAGATTCAAGAAAAAACAAGTAATCAATTCACTCAATATGCAATACGCAGTTATAAAATGAAAGCATCAAGAAGTTCTGAACTCAGTATCTGGCAATTAGAGATTGCGTGTTATCATTATGCAATGGTCCATCCTTGTGCATGTAATAATGCTGCCCATCCTTGGATTTTGTAACTGAAGTTCGTAAATCGGTTGGGCTAGATGCCCTGATCTGACTCTATGGAATAGAAACGATGCGTCATAATGAACTCTATCAAGTCAGGCTTTTACAAGAGTATATGGATGACATTTATCACTTCTAGGTTTGCTCGTTGAGTATGATGTTGCAGAGTATGTGTATGAGGTTATCCTCTTATTCATGCGCTTTCTGCAATAGTCAGATGTAGTTTTCTTTTAGAAAAAGGAACGAGCTTCTGTGTTTCACCATTGATGGGGAGCTTTTGAGAGGAATGAGGCCACGACTAACAACACTGAATGCTGAAATTAAGACTTTTTAGGTCTGCACCTGACATTGACGAGGTTATGTAAGGTTCAGAAGCTCTATGGAATCTCTTGTCTTGAGACAAGTTTTTGCGAGTCTATCTGTTGACGAAGTAAATTGTGTTTACCACGTCGACCCAATCCTTGCCCTTTCATGCATGTCTTTGAGAAATTGTTGTCCATGGTGCACCGTTCGATAGGCTTTTGACATTACAAATCAGAGTTCCATGTTATGGATAATTTGTGTAGTTAGCCTGATGAAGTGATGGAATATTTACGTCATTCAAAAGATCTCAACATCACAAATGTTCCCTTTGCCGTGCTTTTCTTTGCGTGTAAGGTGATTACTTCGTACTACTTCCTTATCGTAATATTGAGGTTCTACTAGTTTGTGTGGGCGATGCATGCCTGAAAGAATACTAAGACATTAGAAGGGCGAACGGTGGCACAGACTGAAGGATGATGATAGATGCTTCTGATGGCTAAAAATTCTACTATCTTTGTTTCTTGAATTTCCACTATAAACCTGCTGTTTATAGGAGCTCATGTTGATTCAGCCTTACTTGGGCAAAGTAAAATCTCTTCATCCGTGACATGTTCAGCTCTCTCCGTAGCCTGTGGCGAACTGGATTGCTGACTCTCTTCTTATACATGCAAATTGGGGTCGAGACTGAGATTCATTGGATTGCGATCACTGCTAAAATGAGTCGGTACGAACGGGCAACGTATTGTGGTAAAGTTGAGTTGCAGCTTGCTAAACGATGCCACCATCACATATGGTCTCCACATACCATAAATATTGGATAGATATCTGTTCAGCCTATGGCCGTTCTTCACTGTTGTCTACAAATGTTTATGAGAATTTTTTTGCAGTGAAGCTTGAGGATGGGTTGCTCAAAATTCTGAATTTTAAAATTTGGTTCGTCAGTCTGCCTCACTAAATTATCTACGTCAAATACACATTAAACAGATATTATACGATAGAAACTACTCATCCTAAAAATGAACCTCCCAGCGAAACACCTGGTAGTTTAATCGAGGCAGACTGATGAACTAGTCAAGTAATTTTTAAGAATATTTTTTATCACTAAATTATGTATTAGAATAAATAAATAATTATTTTAGATTATTTTATATGCCTCAATGCAACAAATTCATAGAAATTTAAGTAAACACTAATTGTATTTTTTAGAAGTGTTTATGATAATAATAATTATTATTATTAAGGATGCATTTATTAAGGTCATAGTTGATATTTTTTATAATTTAAGCTTATTATTGATGTTTGGAGGATCTAATTTTGTATTCAAGAAGTTTATGTGGTTAAAAAGGTTAAGAAGTTTCCTTCTAAAGAAGTTTCCTTCTAAAGAAGTTTCCTTCTAAAGAAGTTTCCTTCTAAAGAAGTTTCAAAGACTTAAACCAAGAGATTGTATCTGTTACAGTTGGATAAATAAAGATAAGCAATTATTAAATAGGAATCAAGAGATGGATTATAAGATAAAAAGATATATATATATATATATATATATATATATATATAAATTAAAAATGTAAAAAAATGGATTATTAAGATATTTCATAAAAAATAATTTTAGAAGAAGAAACGATATTGTAGACATACAATATATTAGAATTCCAAAAGAAAAGTATATCCTTAAATGTTGGTCGGTTTGATGTTGGTAACAGGCATATTTACTATGAACATTCAGAAAGTGGATATGCTACAATACTGAAATGGGGTTTTTTTACAATAAATGTTTTTACCATAAATGGTTTTTTTACAATAAAACCATATATGGTAAAAAAAAACGTATATTTATTTACCATTTTTTGTATTTTAAGTTGGAAAAAAAAGGTGTCGTGCATAGACCAAAAAGAAGAAAAACATCTAATTATGTCCATAGACCAAAAAGAAAAAAACATCTAATTTTCTTTATTCATGTGTGCTAATTGGATCATTTCTTAGATACTCAAGCAATTCGTATTCAACTTTCATTTTGGTTCGAGTGTTAGTTTGAAATGCAGCGCTACCAACTATTCAATGGTACTTTAAGGTCATACTTTCTACTGACACTTCAAAGCATGGGAGGAATAAAAAAAATTAAAAATTAAAATAAAATAAATATTAGCGATGGGCTCAACTTAAGCTGTGACATCGTCTACCACATCCTCTACCGTAGTCTGCTAAATAGTTAAATATAAAAAGGTTTTGAATCTTAAAAGGTATTGTAATAGGTCTGGATGGTAGGTTTTGAGGAATCACCGAGTATTGCATGATTGATTGGCAACACATGCAAAAAGCAGCATCTCCTTGTCGACAGGTAGTTGATGTATATATCCATATATTTACATATATATACATATATATACACACACACACACACACACACACACAGATAGTACCCATACAGTGTACGAGAAACCCAAGAAGTACCAGTAAAGATCCCACACTGTTTTTAACAATCAATCAGGAACACGAAATTCTACTTCGGCTATTGTCTACAGTTTTTTCTTCCATAACATGAAGTTAAACATTCCTTTGCAATTCCAAATTCGCATGGGTTATTTAAGAATAGTTCTGATTTGCAACCGCAAGTACAAGGTGTCCAAACAGAGAAAACTTCAGTTGTTTGAATATCTTCAACCTGCTTTTGCTTACAATAATGCTGCAACTCTTGACGAAGACTGCATATGAATCAGATGATTACTTTCTTCTCGTCACTTGGCGCCTTTGCATATTGGTTTGCATCTCTTTTCTGTTGTTTTACTGCAGAACCATAGAAAGTTGGTTTTTACGGTGCTCCATTTGAGTTTGATACACAGAATGCTCGAAATCCTTGACAAGTAATGTCACAACCTGTTTGACATGACCGTAGATGCCTCCTTGCATACGATACTTCATGGCTGTAGCCGCATTTAAAGCAAATCGACTACTCATTCTCTAGCTAGAAACTTATGATACGTATTTAGAAAACGACAGATCCTCATTGAGTGACAAAACTGGCAAGTTGACCAAATGTGTTAATTGGCGCAGAAGCTTGCATCGGAAGAGGACAGTCACACTTTTAACATTGTAGTGTAGTTTCTATACAGTTCAGACAGGTTTCCATCTACTCCCACACCATAGCCAGACCATCATTCTAAAGAACCAACAAGTAAACAAAAAACTCTTCTACAGCTATTTTACAGATCATTACTGAACCATCATATTGCGAAGGTCCTCACAGCCTGAACTGGGAGCATGGAACACAATTCGCATGCTCAAACCCATGTTCAGGAAATTAAATACGTGTGAGGTCTTTCGGACCATCTAAATCTTGTTGGCTCAAATTATTCGAGCTAAGCCAGCGATGCACCTGTGCAACATCCCTTGGATGATCTAAAACGTGGTTAACATGCACTTGCTGCTGTTTTAGTAGTACGCGGGTGACAAAATGATGTTAGCCTGGAGAGAAGTACAAGCTGCCGTTGGTGCTTAGGTTAAATTCTTGGAACTCCTAACACTCTCCGGGTGAATTCATTTACTTCCTGCATTCTCAACGAACGCTCCCAGGAGCAATGCCAAAATCTCTGCAACATCTGTGATTCTCCGGCGAAGATGAGGTATTCGGAAGACTTCAGCAAGCTCTGAAGATGTGGTATGTTCACATCAGTTCTGCCTCCTCGCCCACTCATGAAGAATGATTGTCTATATTGACCGATTTTTGGCCTGTGGATAAATTCCCTTCGATGTCGAAATCAGCCCACGAGAGGGATTCCTGAAACCAATACACTGCTTGGTGGTGACGAGAGCTTTGGTGGAGGTATGTGTCCAAGGAGCCATCCTCATCTTCTACTGCTTGTTCACGATCCTCGGACGCCGTCGTGATGGTCGAAATGGCCATGTTATTCATGTAGCTGTAATTGTCGGGACAATCCTTGTCATCTTTGCTCCGTCTTACCCTCTTACCCGAAGGTGAGCCGTGTAAAGGCTCTGTCAACCCTCCATCCACAGAGTTCGATCCTGTCCATATCCTGCTGTTTTCCACCTGATCCATTTCAACATTACTGCGTTTCTTGCAATCCGTGCTACTGATATGGCTATCCTGAAATGTAGTTAGCTTATCATCCATGGTCACTCCAGGCTTGTCGTGCCCCTGAAGGTGATCTTGAATTGATTCGAGTTGCGCAGGACTGCCTGCCGAACCCCGCGTGGACCGGTTTCGTTTGTATCCAGTGCTGGAGCAGGTGTGCTTGCCCACATAAGTGATTTCAAATACCATGGGATCCTTGTCGGTGGGTTGCACCATCTTCTTCGCACGACACTCCTTCACACTGCATTTATAGTATCCTCTGTTTCCCATTCCCGAAGGTCACGATTAGAAACCCCGACGACTTATTGTAAGAAACTGTGCAAACCCTCCAGAAAATCTTATAATCTAAAGAAGAAACGAACGATTCGATATGCAAGACGACTAGCAGCACAATGCCTTCCATGCACAGTCCGTAATCTCTTGCACAAGATCTAACAACAACCTGCAATGGTTGGAGTTTTGAATGGATTTGTTGCCATATTTCTTCCACCCTCTGTGGCCATCATCGGGGATTCCCTTCTTGTTGCCGTTCAATCTTTGAAGCACAACTTCTACCTTTGCTTCATTCCCGCTGAACTTTCTGAGGACAGTTCCATCAAACCATCAGTAGGTCATTCAAAACGTTCTTTCCCATTTGATTTGTAATCACGTTGCGTAAAGAAAGAAAAAAAGAAAAAAAGAAAAAAAAGAAAAAGGAATGTTGTCGGTTTGTCACCTGACTTCAGATTTTCTAAATGAGTTTCTTGTTCGGTTCTCCCGAGGTAACTTGTTGAAATAGCTCTGATCCTCTGCGATAGATTGATTCTTGTAATCCATGACTTCGGCGCCATCGAGCGACGGCTCGAGTGCTACATTACTCATATGGTAAGACGGCGAACACTGTTGAGGGTTAGAGGGCAAAGAACGGGGCACACTTGCAGAATGAATTGGACTGCCCGTGTCTGACAACGTCGTCGGCCAGTCCGACACAGCCATGTGCATACTCGCCGGCAACCGTGCAGAATTCCGCCTCTGTTGATGTTGCCCTTTTGGCGACGAAGAATCTTCCCCTGCATCACACCAACACAATCGCGCTTGCTCCATGAGCACCGCAAACTGGTCGACCTTTCAATCGCACTACAACCGACCGGCCTCGTCTAAAACATTCAGCACCATGGAACACTGGGCTTGTTGTAGACTTCGTCGACAAACCTTCTCGAAACTCAAGAACTTAGATGAATGCAAGTGGTGGTTGACGACGGCCCTTGAGCACAACCCCGCAAAAGTCATGGAGTCTGGCAGTTTGGCACGAATTGCGCACGCGTTCTACATGACCTACCCACAATTGACAAGGAGCCAGACTTGCCTTAATTTGCACAGACTACTTTCCTAACACCAAGCTTCCTCACTAACCAGCACTTAATTAATCATCTGTGTGCCAGCTTGCTCATGTGTTCCGTGTTGCAACCAATTTTCTATCAATTACGAGTGGGAAGGTGATGCGGACAGTAAGAACACAACAGAAGATCAATCAGTACCTGGTGGAACGGAGGGAGGCTTGTTGAGCTGGGGAGCGAAATAGTCGTGGGAGAGGCGATTACCGGCCTTCCATGCGCTGCAGTTTCGGTCTTGTACGGCGAAGGAGTGAGGAACGAGAGGCTCCTTGCGCAGAGCTTTGAGGGGGCTCAAGGGTGTAGGGACACACAATCGGGATAAGGAGTGAGCATGGTTCCCTCGAAGCTGAACCGCTGCTGATTCTGCATCGCTGCCTTTGGGGAAGAGGGGCAGGTGTCCAGAACCTACTGAGCTTCCAGTAGAATGCTGCGCGGTGGGAGAGCGAGCAAGGGATGAAGTGTGGAGAACGATCTCCCGGAGACGACAGAGCGCGAGTTGGCACCAGTCCATAGAATTCTCCACCTTGGATTTGAGAGAAACCAGGACGGAGGGGTATATGACATCGGTGATGGCCACCGGAGCCATGTGGGGCGAACCATCTTGCGACCCCGCCAAGCAGTCGGGGAGGTTCGAAGTGAGCATTCTCAACAGATCCTCCTGGTGCACAATTGCCTTGCTCAGCATTTCCTCCACCTTCAACACGCAATGCTCCGACGTCCACTGGCTCCCTCGCAAGCGCGACATGCTGCCTTGCCGCACCAGATTCCCAATACCCTCCATCGTCGCACAGTCTCCTCACTCCGTCCACTCCTTTCAATCAACGCATGTCGGACCCTCGTAATCAAATCAATAGCTGCCGACGGTTTCCAATATTAGCACTCTATATACCCGCAATTCAGCAAGCCGTGTTGAGGTTCTTAAAAATAATCCCTCCACGATGTCTTCACCGGAGTAGTAGCAATGGGGAATTCAGCCTCTCACATAATGACTCGATTTGCGCAAGGGGATTGAGCGTGACGCTCTGCGTTGATACCACCGTTGCGGTGCGAGAGCCATTGCAGCATGTCCATCAATCTACCGCCAGGCCCCAATTCTAGCCTCTAGCGTGCCCAAGTGAGGCAACAAATTCTAGTGCTACCTTTCATCACTCGACTTCATGAGAGTGTCGCTTGTGGGGGCACAACAGGCGTCATAGATTTCCCGGGAAAACGGGATTCCGGTGACATGTCACGTGACCTTGCTGACGTGGAAGTTGACACGTGGACTCAGCTTCCACTTGCACAATGTCTGAACTGACCCCATTTTGGTGTTTGTCCATTAACTCTTCCGTAATATCGGAAATGGTCCCCCCGTTCAGTTCGGATCACGCAAGTTATTAAATGCGGATGTTTGGATATGGTTTTACATTTTTTTTGAAGGATTTCACTTTCGTTTAAAATGACTCTTCTAAGATGCACAATGATTGAATCTTGAAGAGCTAATATTTTTCAGTCAGTATGTGAGGTTGTGTAAAATTAATGGGTTAAACATATGTTAAGCTGTGTTCAATTATAGGTGGCATACATTGGTCAATGTCATATTTGCATTTAAAGGTCACATTTAAGACATGGCACATTAGATTCATATGTCATATAGGATTCTAATGCCAACTTAAGTGTGCCATATCATGTCCAAATTGCAACCTTGAGTTTTGGCTGCTCATGATACACACCATATTTGGACACAAATAGCTACATTGCAGTTAGATTCCAGGTGGAGTGATGCAGTTTGATGAGTATATGTTTGTGTTTTAATCTTTGAAAAAACTAGTTCAAACTGTTTTAAGGATGAACTTTTTTTACGATATTTTGAGTTTATGTGTAATAAAAAGTACAAATATCATGTCATTATATAAGTGATTTTATTTATTTGAATACCTTTTTTTTTTTTTTTTTTTTTTTTCCTGCAAGATAGAAAGGTTCTTCAATATATATCAAAAAATATATATTTCATGAAAAATAATAATGACATAAAATAAAGTCTTGCTATAAAAATTAAATATTAAATAAATGAATTGTTCATTGTAAACAAACAGTGATGACTCCAATGTAATACATGCATTCCTTGTTATGAAAAGTGATGAATCCAATTTAATACAAATATTCCTTGAGTGGAGAAAATTACAAGAAATGTTGCTATGCATTAGATTTTTAGTCATTGATAATTGCAAATAAATAAAATAAAATAAAAATGGATATGCACATATGTATATATTTATGTACATGTGTTCATAAATAAAATTCTAAGAGTTTAGTAAATAACATTAAACATTTTAAAATGCTAAATACAGATGAATCACACTGATACAATAATTGAGTAATTTAAAATTATTTATCCAGGTACTTCAAAAAATTATCCTGTACCTGACCATATCGTTATGTAACTTCTTAAACCATTTTATCTCTTACACTTATGATAATCAAAAACATATATATATATATATATATATATAATAACATATTACATTGTAGAGTTGCAAGTATTAAACATCTTCAGATACTTCTTAGGTACATATTCAAGTGTCCTAAACTTGTTAAGTTTATGTACCAGAATTCATACAACTGCCACCTGGAAAGAAATGAATAAAATAAAATAAAAGAAATTGACATACAGTTCATATGAATTATTTTACAATCTGCATGATGTTATAACCTATTATTCCAACAAGTAATTTATCAAAAAAAATTACTTTAAATTACTTGTTGGGATGGTAGGTGGCTTTAGACTTGATTTTAGAACTAGCAATTCTTCTTCTTTTGTACTAATTTTGTTGTTATGATTATTGCAAATGCATCATGACCTCATTTTTGTTATTTTTAAAACTTTTTTTTGCAGAAAAAAGTGGGTTTGTAGAATGGCTTTTGATTTATACATTAATTTTAAAAATTCATAACAAACGAATGTAATATTTTTAAAAATTAATACATATGATTACAATGGTGCAATGTTTAATTAAAAAAAGAATAAAGAAAACAAAATATCATGATATTAATTTACAATGAGTACATCATGGAGATTGTAAAAATTGATATATAATAATTATTAATTATTAATACAAGTATATTAAATATTTAAGATTATATATATATATATATATATATATATGCACACACAAATGTCTGTTTGTAGTTGTATTCTTGGGTCAAGTAATTTTTATCAAGGGTTGATTTTACTTGCACATGTGACTACTTCAATGTAAAATTTGATGGACAAACAATTGTTAACAAATTTTTGTAACTTTGTTATTTGATGTTTTAATTTTGTGTTTCATTAAATTTGGTGAATTATATTAATTCTTAAAACTTATAACAATCGTAAATTGGTACCCATAACTTCATGTTCTTCATTGTTTGTTTACATTACCAAGTTGTACATTAGAAAATAAAATTTTGTCAAGTTTTCAAGACAATTGCTATGATTTATCTTGTTCATCACCAAATGATTTGGATCAGCAATAATTTGGACATTCTTATATTTCTAAATGCAGTGGAATATAATTTTTCTTCACTTTTAGAAAGCACGGAAGACAAAATTGATTTATCACCGGAACATATACTCTCCCCTGAGTATTTTACGTCATGGTTCCGTAGCACATGGGCTGCAATTAGTTACTTACTCATTTGTATATTGTTCCATGGAATTAATTATAACTCTTTACCTAAGAATTGTGGATGTTGTTTTGGATATTCTTCTTGTAACTTGTAATCTAGAATAGTTCACAATTCTAACCATGGAATACCATTCAACACTTGTGATTGCTAAATATATGCAGAGTGGATTGTTGAACCTAGGCATTTACTAAATTTACCACCCATATGGATCTAACTATTTTTCAACAGATCCAACAGATCCAACAGTGGAGAATTTTTCAATGATGGTTAGGATGGGTGGGTTTATTTAGTAAATATATTGGTCAATTTGACAATTCCCAATACATAAACAACTACATATACGACCAACACAGACGAATGTGTGCTTGTGGGGACTGACTCATTCTTTTCTCATCCCTGAGCTGGAGGAATTTTACAATCCTTATGATAGTGGGTTCGGACACTTTTCATGCAATGAGGAATCATTTGTTGATTCAATCACCGATTTCCATCTATTTCTATCGCTGCATGTTAATTGGGTATCTATGCTGATGGGATTTGCTTGCCGAGGCCCTCTATGTACACAACAACAACAATAACTAACCCTGTCTTCACAACCCCAACCCACAACCCCAACCGCAATCACAACGACAGAAGAGCGTGTAGCTTCCAAACAAGAAGATAATCAGGTGGGATAAAATTAGGGTTAGCAGGAGGAGGTTCCGAGAGATGCATTCACAGCTCAGAGCAGGGGCGGGAGTCCTCCTTGCGGCGGTAGTAGGCAAGACCGATGCAGGGCACACGAGAGGCGTCATTCCCCACAAGCCATGACAGATTCGCAGTAACGACCGTAAGGTGTGAATTTAGGGTCCTTCTTCTTCTTCGTCTTCGGTTGGGACGCACCCCCAGCAAGCAATTTGTCAACTTCTTGGGCTGCGTTGGAACCCGCCATTACAAGGAAGCTTTTAAGAAGCATGTGGGCACTACAGTGCCATGTTTGTGAATCCCGAGGTTTCTATTGCAAACCGTGTTGATAAATAAATCAATGCCTCCTCTCAATAAACAATGGTGAAACTGAATTGGTGGCATTGTAAAATGCTTGGTCATCTCACGTGGTGACTTCATTTGGAATTTTGACAACATAACATGGTAATGGGTCCATGCAAAAACTAGCTAGATTACAAGAATATTGTTTTTGTAGACATGTTCTACAGTATTCCAACTACAAGTCTATGTTTTGTGAATTTGGGAATGATACATTATTTGTCATTATATTTGTCTTCTACTATTATTGTCATCATTGTTTCAAGAATTTTCTACAGTACATGTTTTCTAATATTTCTTGTTTAGTTTATTTGTAGTTATTTCTATGTATTGTTCACAACCATTTATTTTTGAGTTTAATATTTTTTTAGTTATTTTTTTTTAAATTGGTTTAATTGGTTAAATGATTTCTAGAGATTAAAAAAATAATCAAGTTGAATATTTCCTAGTAGGAGTATTACCAATTTTATTATATAGAATAGCATTAATATTTATATATATATCTATATATATAATTTTTCTTTGTTAAAGAAGAGATTAACTAAGAATAAAGTTCCATCATACATGGTTGTAATTATATAAATGAGATTTGAACTGCAAATTTTTTTAGTATTGTTTTGCAAACTTGCCATCTTAATGTGGTTTAGGATCATTTTGAATCTACAATTGATTCTTTATCTTACTAGGTTGGTAATTAAAACCATAAAAATTTATTAGTCTTAAAATTTTTATATTATTATGATTATTGTCATTATTGTCATAAAATTATATATTAAATAAAATATAATAAAATTTTAAATTTATAATAAAAAATATAAAAAATAATTTGGTTTATCATAAATATATAAATAAATGATACTTCAAAATTTGAAATTATTTTTTAATCCAAATTATGTGATATTTTTTTAATTTAAATTAATTTGATAATCCAAAGTGAGTTAGTACAAAGAAAGCAAATAAATCTTTGTATTTTGTGTTATTAATATAATGAACTAACCAAAAAAATAATACTATCAACTATTATCTTTGTTACATTATAAGCTACAATAATAGTCTTTTTGATTTTGTTTTAAAATATTTTATTAAATTAAACCACAAATATGTTTTTAAATATTATCATCTATCTTATCATTCATTTAAAATTTTAATTTAATTATTTTAAAAATTTAATATATATTTATATTTATTATTTTATTATAATTAAAGTATTTTGAAACTTGCTATCTCAACATTCCATACCTTTAACTATCATTATTTTATTAAATTTTATTTTTTATTTTTGTTTATTTTAAGATTTATTATAAATTCTTAAATTATTATGTAATTATATTTGTTAAAATTTTAAAGAAATTATTATTTTAAATTTTATAAATAATTTAAAATAATTATAGTTTTATATAAATTTTAAAAGAATAGAAAATTCTCTCTAAAGTTTTATAATATTTTATTGTTTATTTTTAAATTATTAAATATTTTTAGTACTCTTTTAGTTGTTATGACTTTAATTTTTAATATATTAGAACATATATTAGTTTTGAAATTTTTTGAATTATTTTGAATTAAGGTTTTTTAATTCTTCATGAATGATATTTCATTTTAATAATTATTACATGTCACAATTGTAAAGATTATTACATGTTACTATTCTATAAGATATTAATTACATACTAATTCTTTATATATTACATTGTTGTAGTAGAAAGAATTTGCCTCAAGAAAATATTGGGCCTTTAGTTGCCACTAATCACTTGAACAAATTTTAAGTTTATAAAACACAAATCTTATTTATAACTTGTCTTCATGAAGACATTTATATCAAATATATAAGTATAGCATG